TTCTTTTTTTTTCTTTTTATCCCCACCCATTTTAGTTTTCTACTTCCTTCCTTTTACAGAGGTGGAGTTTCAGGACTAGACATTCCAGTTTGCCAAGAGACGTGTGCTACTGAGGCCTGTAGCTATGAGGGACACCCATCAGTCCACTCACTATGGTAATTAAGAATTACTTTAAAATTAAGTAAGGTTTTTTTTCTGATTTCTGTTACGTAGGAAGCCATGCAAATAATTTGCTTTAGTCAGTTTCCCGTATAGATAAATAATACTAATTAAGTTTGTTCTGATTAATTGTTGACATATTTAATTTGTTAGAATTTTGCTGTTTTGTTTTATCTTTGGGGTTTTTTTTCTGCATGTTTCTTTTGTCCTAGAAAGCCAAGTTCAGACTACAAGGAACATGGTTAGTGTAGCTTTAACCACTCTATTTAATACATGTTTGTATAACCTAAAAAACTCTGCCTTTATAGTTTGTTCAGTTCAGCCCCACTGATACCAATGCAAGTTTTTCATTAGCTTCAGTGAGTGTTGGATCGGGCTGGAGATATTAACTTAAAGTAATTTAATTTCTTTTTTTTTTCTTTTTATCCCCACCCATTTTAGTTTTCTACTTCCTTCCTTTTACAGAGGTGGAGTTTCAGGACTAGACATTCCAGTTTGCCAGAGACGTGTTGCTACTGAGGCCTGTAGCTATGAGGGACACCCATCAGTCCACTCACTATGTTAATTGCTACTCAGAGGTTATTTGGTCGAGGCTGGCAACAGACAGTCAAGCTGGTCGTAAAGGTTGTGCATAGCAGGAGAGCTCTGAAATCAAAGACAAATGCTCTTTGCTGCTCCTAGGGGATTTTCTACCTAATTCGGGACTGACTGGTGAGCGGGTGCTTACGGAGGTCTCAGCTTAGATTTCAGCCGAGTGCCCCAAGTTCACCACCTGAGAATCACTGAGTGCTGCAGATCAGAAGTGGGCCCCATGAACAGAGAGACAGTGATCCTTCATGGCCATTAGCCAAGGAGCTGGGAATCTTGGTGACTATGCCCCGATTTATTAAACAGCTATTACTTAAGGGCCTTTTTCCCCCTTTCCTGATGTCCTTAAATAAATATTCCTTTACTAGTATGAAAGAACATTTACTGACCCATTTATAAACCATAGCCATTTACATGTCTCAATAAACTAACTTGTGGGTAGGGATTGGAAATGAACTATATATCTCTGTTGCTGTGAGAGGCAGATGCTTTGAGCAGCAGTAATGCAGATTTTGATTTATAAAGTTCTCTAATCAATCAATACAAGACTGACTGAGGCAATCAGATAATCTGAATAATTAAATGGCTTTTCAGGGACAAATTAAAATTTCTTATACATACCACATCCGTCTAAATTATGTTTGGTGTCCAGGAATAAATGGGTTAGTTG